CTTCACTTCACAAATTTATAGGCACATTAGAATAACTAAGCATACTCATTACCATGTCCATAAGTGTTCGGTTCATTCTTTCAGCAATACCATTTTGTTGTGATGTGTCAAGCATTGAATATTGTGAAATAATGCCTTCTTCCTTAAGGAACTTAGCAAATGGACCTAGTAATTGTCCCAATTCTATGTACCTCCAATAATATTCTCCACCCTTGTCTGACCTCACAATTTTAATTTTCTTTTATGCTTGTTTCTCTACCTCTGCTTTATAAACTTTAAAGGCATCAAGTGCCTCGACCTTGTCAAACAAGAGGTAGAGATACATGTATCGTGTATATTCATCAATAAATGAGATAAAATATCTCTGATTATTCAGACAAGGTGGAGTAAATTGTCCACAAATATCAGTCTATATGATTCCAAGAATTTCCTCACTCCTTTTGGCACCTTTACTAGTCTTGTTGGTCTACTTTCCCTTTATGCAATCCACACAAATACCAAAGTTGGTAAGATCAAGAGTTAGAAGGACTTCATCATTAACCAACCTCTTTATTCTCTCTCAATGGTGATATGTCCCAATCTCCTATGCCAAAGTACAGAGGAGTACTCATCAACAACATTACGCTTAATGCCAATATCACCATGCAAGGTTAAAAGATTTTGTTCAAAAATAGGATCCAAATTTAATTTGTACAGACCATTAATTAAAGTACCAAATCCTACAGAAAGAGAGTCTTTAAACAAACTAAAATTTGTACCAACAAACTGAAATTCAAATCCAAACGATACTAGTCTAGAAACAAAAATTAAATTTTTAGAAAAAGATGGAATGTTAAAAGTGTTTTCAAGATCCAAAACAAAGCCACTATTTAAAACAAGTCTGAAAGTTCCCACAGCTTAGACGTGTGAACACATCCCATTGCCTGAATAGATGCCTTATTCACTTCCCGTCGGTTTCCTTAGGCTGAGGAAGCCCTACATGGTATTAGCAATGTGAATTGTAGAACCCGAATCAATCCACCACTCATATTGATGAGTATTAACAAAATTAGATTCATAACACACAAGAGATATATGATTACCTTTCTTCTAAAGCCATTTCTTATACTTGGGCAGTCTTTCTTCATGTGACCATTTTTCTTGCAGAAGAAGCATGCATCCTTATTGCCATGATTTTTTAAATGACACTTTACCAAGCTTCTTTCATTTCTTATCACCTTTGCCCTTTTTGCATTGCCCTCCTTTATGTGTTGCTAAATGGGTACTTTCCACTTTTCTATGCTTCAATCTCCCTTCCTCTTGAACACACATGGTCAAAAGTTCATTGATAGACCATTTTTCTTTCTGTGTGTTGTAAGAAATTTGGAATGTTCCATATTCCACATGAAGAGAATTGAGTGTGAAATTGACAAGGAATGACTCAAAAATCTCAATCGCTAAGGACTTAAGACGAGCTGCAATGTCTCTCATTTCCATAATGTGCTCACGCACACTCCTAGAATTGTTATGCTTCATTCCTGATAGTTTGTTCATTACGGTGCTTGCCAATGCCTTGTCAGAACTAACAAATTGCTCTTCAATAACCCTCATGAAGTTCTTGACCTTATCAAATGATGGGATTGATTTGCTAATGCTCTGGCTGATATCTGACTTTATGAGCATTAGGCTTAAGCAATTAGATCGCTCCCACTTATCATAAGCACTCTTTTCTGCAACGGAACTCTCGTCCATAGGTTCAGGAGGTTCATCCAGATGGAGTGCCAGATCGAGGTCCATGCACCCTAATGTTAGAAGGATTTTGTCTTTCCAATCCGAAAAATTATCACCATTCAAGAATGGAATATGAGAAGACTTATTAGACAGTATAGAGGTAGAAATCACTTCAATTACCAAGAATATTATTAATGCTTTGAAACAATAACTATAGTCTGAATCAACCAATGTCAAATTTAGTAACAAATCTAAACCTTCCTGTGGGTAAAGATTACTAAACTTTATTAGATTTGCTATTACTTTATAATAAGACTAATGAATTCCGAAATATTCAAGGAAAAGAAAACTCATACATGTGGATTTAGAGTGTTCAATCCCTTTAATACCCAATCTATTATCTTATTCTAATTAAATTTCATAAATAACTACTTTCCTGTGTAACTACTTTCCTATGGAACCAAGAAATTATTTATAAAACATAATTACAATATAAAAATACCAAATTAATTTTTTTTAACTTTATGTGATAAAAGTGCTGAGAATCACTACATCTTTATGTCTTAAAATATTGTGGTTACTCTTAAAACATAATAAATTTTTTAATTATGGCATAATTTATTAATGTGAGCAAATCTTTATGATCACAACAAGAACATAATAAATAACACATGCAATCAGAGTAATATCATATGAAAAATACCAAGAACAAACACATATACTTCAACCTTATACTAGATTTTGCTTAAAAGTTGGACCAAAATAAATTCCGTAAGTCCAACATACACACACAGTACATACATGCTCTTATTTCACATAAATTTTCATGGAATAAATAATCTTGATACATGTAATGTGATGTTACACTATACTAGAGAGCATGTCAATTATTATGAAAATTTATAAGGCTTTTAAAGGATATGTTAAGATAGTTTACTGTATGAAATTCAAATGAATTTACTTACTATTTAAACATGCAACTATAATAAACAAAATATCCTCAATATCACATCCTTATAAAAATCTAGAAATAAATTAAAGTCTTTGATGCCTTTTAAAATTAACTGAATGGACCCAAATAAATGCATGAGAATTTCTAGATTTTATACAAAATGGTCTTCAATGTGTGTCAATTAATGAAAACTCATACTTAATGATATACAGTAGGTTTTCAAAACACACCAAATTTAGAATAGGAATACTTCTAAATTAATATAAACACTACTATTATAAAACAAGATGAATTCTATTATTACCTCTAATTAATTTATATCATGCAACAATTTATTTCTAATAACGAGAAAATTAACCAACATGTTTCAAAAAAAAAAAAAATCTTTTTTAAACAAGATAAACCAAATAGTAAACGTTTATATTAATTTCAAAGGTTAATCTTTAAATAGTACAAAAATATACAAGTGAAACTACAAATCTTGTATAATAATGGTTGTTGTATAAATCTAAAATCCACCATTAAGTAGTAGAATATCAAACCCCTCTCTCTCTCTCTGTCTCTCTCTCTATATATATATATATAACTTATTATAATGGTCTATAGGTTATAGATTCTCTTCACAAGAAAAAACAAAATAAAGGTCCAAGAGCTCATGGTGGTATGTCAACCTGAATGAACATGCGGAAGCATTAAGAGGCGTAGAAAACAATAAGGCAAATTACATATACCTCCCTCGAGGTTTAGCTAAATTAAAGATATCTCCTTTAGGTTTTGAAAATTACAGATACTCCCCTAAAGTTTATATTTTCATAACAAATTGTTTCCTGGGGTTTATAATTATTTTTTTAACTTTTTTGTGAAAGAAGAAAATGGGTTAAAAGGTGGAAAGTCATTTTTAACCCACTTCCTAAAATATATTTAAATAGACAATGTAATATGAAACTATTTAATAATTATTCAAGAATGACACCGATGTATTTTATGATTTATTTTCTGTTAAGAGTCTACATAGAGAATGGCCCCGTTTGGTAGAGCTGTGGGAAAATGATTATAGCCTATACCTTAATAGCTTATAGCTTATAACTGTGAACATAAGCTGATTTTTGACTTATAAATTAAGCTTCTCCTCTCCTACTCAAAGAATAAGTTGATTTTTTACTTACAAAAAACTATAAGTTGTATTGTTAAGCTGAACCAAACACATCAAAATAGCTTAAATTAAGCTAAAAGTTGAAATAAGCTGAAAATAAGTCATACCAAACAGGGCCAACAGCTATTTAATAATTATTGGTTGAAAGACTCTCCCAACCACTAGGTGGTGGGCACGTGCGATGTGTGTGGCTATGTGACCATTTAAATTTAGGGCTCTGCTGGGGAACCCAGTGCCACGTGGGGGGCTGCCATTGGCTAGAAAAAAAAAAAATTTGGGCCAATAGCTATTTAATAATTATTGGTTGAAAGACTCTCCCAACCACTAGGTGGTTGGCACGTGCGATGTGTGTGGCTATGTGACCATTTAAATTTAGGGCTCTGCTGGGGACCCCAGTGCCACGTGGGGGGCTGCCATTGGCTAGAAAAAAAAAAAAAAATTTGGGCCAATGAGAAGAGACCCCTAGCATCCCATTGGGGTGTCTCATGCATTTTCCTTAAATTTAAAACAGAAAAAACCAAAACCCCAAAAAAAAAAGTTTTTGTTGGGATGTTGGTTGAATTTTTAATTTTTTAGCTTTTCGATTATTTTAATTTAGGATTAAAAGTTTTGTTTGAGATAGACTTTTTGACTTTTTTAATTTTTATGAGAGAAAAATAAAATAATTATGATTTTTATATATGACATTTTGTCCTATTAACTTTTTAACCTTTTTTTTAAATTAAAATAAAAAAAAAAACCATGCTTAAGTGATCAAAGTGCCATTAAACGGCACGGCACACCACCACACTAACCCATCCTATGATTTTTGTCCCTCAAGACAACGGCCTCGTTTGGGAAGTGGCTATTTTAGTAGGCTATTTTAGTTTTTGACTATTTTAGTAGGCTAAAATTTTTGTGTTTGGGAAGATGATTGGATTTTTTTGTGGTTGGATGTGATGTTTGTGAGAGAAAAAAGTGAAATGATTATGGGTTTGATGTGATATTTTGTCTTATTGGCTATTTAGCCTATTTTATCTTTTTGTGATTTTTAGCCTAAACTGGGCTATTTTTTTTCTTCCCAAACACCCCATCAATTCCCCTCTACAAAATATACCTGGTTAAAAATGAATGGCATGCCTTAAACATTAATCTTTGAAAACAACAACAAATAAAACAAAAACAAAAAACAAAGAGGGGGATTAACCTGTAAGAAGAACCCATTGGGTGCCTTAATCCGAACCCGGCTCAAGTCATCAGAATTTCTAACAATCTGAAACGTTTCTGATGACGTGTTCGCGATGGCAACCACATCAATCCCATTTCCAGTTGTGTAATTTAGTCCCATAAACTGTTTGTTCAACACTCTAAACTGAAAGGTCGTCTCATTGATCCTCCACAACTTCACAAAACAAAAACAAAAACAAAAACAGATAAACAAAGTTGGTTTTTGATGATCAGAGACTCGTATAATTAAACAATTAATTTTAATTGGTTTCTTACTTTGAATGTTTCCCAGCCTGAAGCAGAGGTCCTGTTGGCAACTATGATTGTTCCTCCACCCTGTTCGGCGCAAAGGTATTTTCCCACTGTTACTGATTTGAATTGCAGCTCAGTTCCATCCTAGTGAAATTTCAAAGTCAGTTTCAAAAAGTTGAGAAAAATGAATAACAATACATCAATAACATCAAAGATTATCATAATCAAACTATGGTTGTGTTTAATTTACAAAAAAAGAAAAGAAAAATGGAATGGAATGGAATAGTGGATAAAAACA